CAGTCCAACCATCCATTTACCACCAATATTTCCCCACCAAAATATTTCTCGATCACCTCCCTGGGCAGCTCATTACAGTATTCAACTACTCTTTTGGAAAATAAATTTTTCCTAAAGTTCAACCTGAATCTCCCCTGACACAACATGAGGCTATTCTCCCAGTCCTATTGCTAGTTTCAAGGGATTATGCCCACCTTGCCACAACCTCCTTTCATGTAGCTGTAGACAGCTATAAGGCCTCCCCTGAGCGTCCTCTTCTCTGGACTGAACAATCTCAGTTCACTCAGCTGCTTCTCATAAGAGTTGTGCTCCAGACCTCTCACCATCTTTGTTGCCCTTCTCTGAACACATTCCAGGGCCTCAGTGTCTGTCCTGTAGCAAGGGGCCCCAAACCAAACACAGCACTTGCGGTGCAGCTTCACTAGAGCTGAGTACAGAGGGATGATCACCTTCCTGCTCCTGCTGGCAACACTTGCTTGCCTTCCTTTTAACTTAGAAGTATGACTACTATACATACTTCAAATTCACCATGGAAACCACTCTTGTGAGAATACACAGAGCAGTCATTTTCATCCACTTCTAAACAGGATTTCACAGGCAACTTGTAACTGCAGTGTAATATTCTCTGGTTCACAGATACTAAGGACATGGATATAGGTTTACAGTGCAACTGCAGTAAACTGAAGTCTTTTTCTTCAGATATATATTCCCTTTCTGCTTTGAGCAGGATAATTTTATTCTTCTGGATACTAAGAGCCATACTTGAGGTTAGACTCTATGGCCATGGTGGAAGGATCCATTTTTATATTCCTATGAAGGTTACTCCACCCTGACTCAGACAGAGTGAAATTAAATTGAAATCTGCTTACCTACCAGCTAGCTCCTGACAGCAGATGGGCATAGAGGGATGGGAATACAGCACATTCTTCTAGTCTAGTCATTCAGTCTAGTTACTTGCCTGTCACGTGCAATACGTCTGCTCAGCTTATTTTATGATTTGCTGTTGTAGAGCAGCAGAACACCATCAATATTTCAGCATTAAGGAGGGAGTTTTAGTTCCAACAGTTAACTCAGAGTCAAATGTCTCCAGAAGCAGCAGGTTTGCCTGAAGCTATGGGAAGATAGCCAGACTCCCCTGTCTGCTAGAAAGGGGTATACCTAATGACAGTACCCTGAACAGCTCTGGGTTGCAGTCTCCCCCCACATTCTGGCAAGTAGCCCCAGCCAACACTGCATGCTCTAAGATAAGATATAATCTGCTTGCTTCTTGCCTGTTCCCAGGATATTGCTCATCTGTGGAGGTGGAAGAAGATGATAAAACATCATCTGCTGAGAATGGAATAACTCAGTGTTCTTTAAGTGGAAAGCTAGAAGGCTTCATCTTTCCTTCTCACATCAGGCAGTCCCCAAGCACTGGGGAGATAATTAAGTTAAATATTTTTCCTCAGACTTCCCCAGGTGAACAGGGATTTGCACTCATCATTGCAAGATGCAAGGGCAGAGATAAACAGAGTATCCTAATGCATGGACTTAGAAAGCCAGTACAAATCCTTCTAGGTAGCTACACAGAACACATCTGGAAAATATACTGTTTATAAGCAGCAGAAGTGAAAACAGGTTGAAATCTGTGGATGAACCTTCTGAAAGACATGTATTGCAAGCACAGGTAATGTTTCAAATTTAGCAAGTCCTCAGAGAGTGTCTGTTACCAAGACCTTCATGAAAAAGTAAAACACATTTGTTTCCCATTTGGATGTTTGTTCTTCATTCCAGAAGAAACTCTCTACTGTTTAAATGCCAAAAATCCCAAGAGCCTGCAGAGAAGTTAAGAAACATGAACACGAAAATAGTTGCAGTGATGCAATCCTACTCTTCCGTGAAGTGTTAGTATCATCCCAGGATCAAATTCAGATGAGGAGCTGTAATTGAATTACTCTGACTTCTATGGTCAAAAAATCACAGCGTTTCAAAAGTATATTTTCATTATTATTATGTTCCTATAAACCATTTTACATGCATTAAGAACTTCCCTTAGTCACACTCAAATTAGCATTTAACTACTTGGATTAAAAAATATGAAAACCTTTCAGATACCCATTGCCCCCACTCTCCTGACAACACATGCTCAGCCTGCATTACAGGGGCTGAAGCTACATGCACTCAACAAAATACACTGAGATTATAGAACTGGTTGCTAACCTTAAACAAGTTCATATTGTGTATATATAAATATATACATACAAATATATATATTTATAGATGTATGTATACAGAAGGTGCTGCCTTTTGCATTGTATTACTATTAGGAGACATACCAGAAGGGTACACAGAGGAGACAGCCTCATGGTTCATGCTCCTTTATTCAAGGGCAAAATATTCATGCCACACCCCCTCGAGTAAGCTTTGCAATGTGGTTTATATTATATTGCAGCATTTGGCTTGAAGTGTTACAAAACACACGGTTGCTATTTGAATATGTTTTGCTTGATTTGATAGAGGAGTTCTGAGGAGAAATCTGTGCCAAACACCAAACCTTTTCCAGGCATTTCTCTGCACAGTATGGTATTACACACAACAAAACATAAATCTCCACTTTGCTGCTATAAAGGGCAGCTTCTGTTTGCAAATAAGGTTGAGTATAATCCTTCTTTTCTTTCCAAGATGACCACCACTTGACTTGAAAGATACCTTAGCGACATGCCATTCCTTTCCTCAGCCACAATGGGTAATCATTTTTTTCTCTTTCGAACCTCTTTCAACCAGTGCAAAGTCACTGGGCTAGGATTCATTACAGCAACTCCAAACAAGATGAATATAAATCTGTAACACAAATACAGGTGTGTTCTGTGTGTCTTAATTGGCACCCTGAATACTTGTCCTGTCCCATATTACAGAGGTAGGACTCATGACACCTTCACCTTCTGTTTCCTGATAAAGGAATTAGGATAATTCCTAAAGAAAAAGGATAAAGGCTTTAATATCTTCTAATATTTTATAAGTGAAGCTTCAATTAGCTGTCATTTTGCTGACTGTTAATGCAGTTTGGCACCAAGAAAATGTCTCAGTTCAGGACTTCCAAATCCATATTTAACCAATAGGGTAATTAAATAATTTTCCCTTTATCTGTGATTCTATGTGGTTATTTGAACTGATACTGTGAAGACTGGTTGGGGTATTTCTATGTATGTCATTTTAAAGGTTTTCAGGGAAACCCACAGCACTTTTTTTTTTTAAGAAGATAATTCAAATGAATAATGCCAGCTGTAATTAAATAGTTTTTCAAATGATCAGACATATAATTATGCTAAGAGAGTATAACCTTTAAGATTTACTATTATGCTCCTAACATTCCCTTAGCTAAAGTCTCTTCCTACTTGACATGCTTATAGAGCCAGAGCTGAAGCAGCTTCAACACATGAATCGTATCAGCATCCGTTTATGCATTTTTTTCTGTTGTAACAGCACTGCATACAATGCTTTCATGGATGATCTTATTACTGATTCATAAAAGCTGACCTTTACAAATTAAAAGCAAAAGAACAGTTTTTTTTCTGGACACTGTCTGGGAAAGATTTCAAAAAAGTGGTTGGGCCTTTGCGTCAGACCTGGATGATGCTTATATTTGTGTGCCTGTGTTAAAAATTGTCATCCTGAATAACAAGTGATGCAAAGGCTTTCACTCACCACCTCCCATGAGTAGACCAATGCCTAGCTGGTCTCCAAACAGTGTCCATCTTCCAAAAAAAACCCTCCCTCATTTTTTATTGCTGAATGCAATGTCACATGGCATGCAATATCCCTTTGGTCTGTTGGGATCAACTGTCCTGGCTGACCCCATCCAAGCCCATTCTCACTCCCAGACTTCTCAGTGTGGAACAGACTGGGATGAAAATCAAGGCATGATGCTGTGCAATCACTGCTCAGCAACAGCCAAAACAGTGATGTGTTATGAACACTGTTTTAGCCACAAATTCAAAATGCAGCCCCATATGGGCTGCTACAATGATTAACTCCATGTATGGAGCTCTGCAAATTAGATCAAATGCATAGAAGCATACATAGCATACTCTGTGCTAGCCTCAAACTATCTCAAAAGGGCTTAAAATCAGAGGTAATTTGGGGTACAGAGGATCCATGTCAGCCTGTTAAAGGTCCAGAACAGCCCCGCTTAGAGGTGCAATCCCCATGTGCATATGGGGATTGCATCTCCCCAGCAGCATCATCCCCAAATCACCATTGCTGCCCCTAGAAAGGATGGTGCAGGGAAGCTCTGCCAATGTCCTGCACACAGTTATGGGGTTCAGGAAAAGGAAAATTTAGGCTCGCATTCTTAGGGGATCCTTCTTGAGCTGTAACAGGAGGCCAGGCAGGATGTGTTTGTTGCCCAAGGTGGCAATGAATCCCAGCGTTGAAGCAACTTCAAAACTCTCTTCAATGGGGAGCTAGCCCAATCAAGCCTGATTCATGATCTCTCTTACTAGCCTGTATCACTTCCAAAACCAGGGGGGGTGGGGGGGGGAAGGAGTCTGGCAGTACTCTCTGCTGCTAGATTTAAACATTATTTCTGCCTTACTGACTTTAGTTTTGCTTAATTGGGGCCACAAAAACAGTACCTAAGCCTCCTCCCACTCCAAGCCATTCTGCTAGGTAATTATGCCTGTAGAGAAAGATGCTACAGAAAAATGAAATTATCAGTACCATGCACTTTCAAAGCACCATTTAACAGAGTGACCTCATGATTGCAGTGTCCCCAAAATCTAACCACACTGCCACATGCAGCACACACCGTGCATTTAGACACAAAGCCAGGAAAAAAAAAAAAAGCTATTTTTTGAATTGACAGCATCCTTCATTTACCACCCTGGTAAGCACTTATTAGCAAAATAAGCCACGAATTGGGATAATCAGAATGATAAATACTAGGAACTTTCTGTTTTAATTATGTAGACAGTAATAATACTATTTTATATAGTAGTAATGATACAAAGTTTGACAGGTACCTAGATTTTCAAACTGATCCCCTTCAGATGTCTGCAGTCAGCACAGGCTTGCAGACTCCATAGAATCATAGAATCCTTGTGTCATAGAAGAATTTGGGGTGGAAGGACCTCCTAATATCATCCAGTTCCAAACCCTACTGTGGGCAGCGCTGCCACCCACTCCATTAGGCACTAAATCAGGTTGCACAGGGACCCATCCAACCTAGTCCTGAACTCCTCCAGGGATAGGGCATCCACAACCTCTTTGAGTAGCCTACACCAGTGCTTTACCAGCCTCTCAGCAGAAAACACTTCCCCCCGACTACTAACCTAAATCTCCTCTCCATTAATTTAAAACCATTTTACTCCATATTTTATTCCTTCCCTTTCAGCCCAACTTTTTCCACCTTCAGCTTATTTTGTACTCCACTTGTAGGCGGTATCCACCTCTTTTCTCATTTTATGCATTCTTTGACTTTATGAGCGTGAATCATCCAGCACAATGAGGATCCATTTTATGAGAAGTACTCTCAAACATCTCTGCCAAACCAAATAAATATGCAAATAGCTGCAAAAATAAGTAACTACAAAAACAGATAACTGCAATAATGTTTAACCAATAGGGAATTGCTTCTGAATACTTTGGGCCAAATGATGGCATTTACAATCTCTCATGAAGAAGGATTTAACACAGAAGTATGGCAGAGTGTTTGGAGCACAGTAATTCATGGAACAAAATATCAGGCAATATTGAGCTGCTTCATGTAGAGTACTGCAGGCAGAGGGGAGCCTCTGAACATGATAGTTACTTTTGTTGTTATCTCACTATTAAAATAGAAGAAAAGAGAGAATAAAGGCAGAAAGAAAATTACTTTTTTTTTTTCCCTTTTTTTAAACCATTCATTTATTGATTTAGCCATTTTTTACTCCTAGCAAGTAAAATTTACCCTAGTAATAATCGCCTTAAATGCTCTGAAGTAAATAAATTTCCAGATGGCATAATATAGCTACGCATTTCATGACTCTGGGAAATTCTGAAATTTGGAAACACAAACATTTATACATCCAATTCAACACGTATTAATCATAGCTTATTGCAACATAATCCATTGAGAGGAATTCAATTTACATTAATGTAAATGTTATTTGGATGTCTTTACATGCTCCATAACAGTTTGTCTGCCATTAAATATTAGTGAAACATCACATAATGGGAAGCCCAGCCTACATTTTCTCCTCAGTATATGTTCTTGCCATACACGATGAAAACTGAACCTTGAACTAAATAGGTTTTGCTGCTCTCTCTGTGCCACTAACCTGCACTGTTGGAGACAATTTAGGTTTTTGCATCTGGTTGGTCTGGAATGTTTAATAAGTGGAAAACATTCTAAAACATAGCCTCTTAAGTTACATGAGGTGAAGCTTTCTCATTGCCTTTTGCAGAAGGAGGAAGCAATGTCACTTCAGTGACAGTGTCAACAGTGGTGTTGACAAGAGAAAGAAGAAAATCCTAGGAAGGCAAAATGTTTTAGCACTGTAGTCATAGAAACTTTAAGAAATTGTATCGAAATACTTTAAAGCAATAAGCGGTGGAGGACTTTTTGAAATCTTTTTAGGCAAGGTAGGTATTTTACTACATTCTGAACCCACAGTGAGTTTCAGATAAATCCTGCACTTTATGCTATTAGTTACCTTTAAAACATCTGCAGTTCTGAAGGACTACAGATGTAGCCATCAAAAGAGGTATTCAGCCTCATTGCTGCATCCCACATGCAGGCAAAGCCATACAAAGCTGATCAAAATAGTTCACAACTGTAGGCAGGCAGAACTTGCAGAAGGTCATTTTTCAGGTACAATAGGAAATTAACCACACAGAAGAGTTGGGGAGGAATGCTGCAAATTCAAATGCACAAAAATTGTGTTCATTGTACTCATAATGCTTACATGCAGTAGAGGTTTGCATTTGCAATACGCACTTCATTAAAAGGAATGTGGAAGAATTTTGTGAAGAATGGAATGGTTCTCCTAAAGGAAAAAAAAAGATTATACATGAATTACAAAGAGGATATAGATGATAGAAATCAGTTAACTGATTGTATTTCTGATGTTCTACAGAGATAACTCAGCAGAAAAATTTAACCATTTATACTTCTGGTGGCTAGGGACAAAGCTTCTAAAGGTCTTGTCTGGCAAACTAAGAAATACACAAAGTTCAGAATTCAATTATAGCCAGTGTTCAAAAATATTTCTTATACTGAATGAAATCATGTCCTCTCCTAACTCTAACTTTTCTGTCTTTGCATTTGTGGCCATTGGTATTTTTATGAGAATTACAAAATGTTTATGCATTCACATATTCAGAACTTCTATTTTGAGAATTTTTGAGCATATATATACAAGGAAGAATATCTTTATTTGGCAATACCGTTTATAGAATCTACAAATTTAGATGAATTTGGGACTAAGCCCAAGAGTTCAAGAGAACATGACCATCTTGACAATCTATAGGTATCATTTGGCAAGATAATCTTCCTTTGCTGCTAACACTGAAGTTTCCAGTAGTTAAGGGGCAAAAGCTGAAATACTTTGTATTTCAGATCAATATCATTTTAAATGAGTAAATTAGATTTCAAAGTTAAACTCAAGAGCAACCAGAAGCAGGGAGCCAAAAGAACAGGTCTCTGTTACTTTTATATCTACAAGAAAGTAAGTCATGTTTGGGGTAGAGATGGGAATCATTTACATACATTTTTCCCAGATTTGATAATTTCATTTTAAATTCACATTTCTTTTCCACTTACTAACGCTTGCTAACAGTAAGCTTTGTTCAATTGTGGCAGAACTAACAGGAAAGCAATGATAAAGCACCCAACAGATTCAAATGGGAGGAAGAAAACTTTGCCAAAAAATAGGTAAGTAAATTGCTGTTTAAAGTGCCGATAAGTAACTTCAATAGAAGCTTTATTATTAATGTGGCCATGCTCTAAGCAGCAAACAGCAAAGACCAAATGAATCTATTGTGGTTTACAGACTCACTGAACAGGAAACCACTCAGCTTCATTGTGTTCAAAAGCTGCTGCTAACAGAAATTATGTTGTAATTAGAATAGTGGGGCACTTGAAGTTCAGTTGTTTCGCAAACTTTGGGTAATTCCAAGGGTGTTCAGAAACTAGGTAAAACAAGAGTGTATTAATACAATCCCAATGTAAGCCCTGACTGCATATTCATTGAAAAATAGTTGTTGTTTCCGAATATTGAATTATAGTACTGCAATTATCTGTTTACGCTGCTGGTCAGGCTGGCATGGGGCCAAGGACCAGCAACTAAAGAGGGAGATAGTGAGAGAACTATCATCCTTGACAACAGGGTTAAATCAAGACCTGTCAATGTGTTTCTTCTGAACTCAGTGTATCTCACATACTCTGACTAGCTGAATTCCATCCTAAAGCAAGATGGAATAATATCAAGACAAGGTTGGGAGAAATTGTGATACCTACGGGAGCTGGCAAAAGGGGAAAGGAGCCATGTGAAGTGGCATAGCTACATACTAAAAGAGATTTAGATCCTATTTCCCTAAGCAAAGTCATCCCTCAAATTATGTTCTGAAGATGTAAAAGCATTAATAAGATTGTTGCAACACTTATGTCTAAAATTAATATTTGTAGTACCAGTAGAGTTCTACTTGCCAAATTTGAGGCTGTAAGAAATTGCCAAAAATGTTGAATTTCTGCATCCAACAAATTATTTTTCAAGTTTAAATTATTGTACTTGCAGCTTATACTTGTTCAGCTATGTTAGACTGTTTGAAAATTTTCATAGATCAATGGTAATTTCTAAAATTTAAGTGGATCTTTTCTTATGTCCTTAGTTCTTGCCCAAGTTTGTTTGCAGAAATGAATCTGGAAACACATCCAAAAGGTAAAATTCTTTTAGTACTGAAAAAAGAAGTACTACAGCATATCTTTTTGCCACACTGATTACTCAGTCAATAATAGCTCTTAACTAAGAAGGGCCAAAATATTTTAACATCATAAAAGAAAAGAAAAGAAAACAAACAAACAAAAAAAAAAAAACAAGCAAAAATTAAGTAGTTGCAAGAAAAGAAGGAAAAGAAAGCTAAGTTCTTGAATACCTGCTAATGAAGAAAGTAAGAAGACGTTTAGTTCCAGACTGCTCCAAAATATGTTGGCTTCATAATGTTATACATTGAAACAAGCTGAATATGAGTCATCATCTTGCTGGAAACTGAAAACCTCACATTGGCTGATAACTTCTAGAATGCAATTGAGGGAATTTAAAAGGATGCACCGCTTTTAAAATAATCTGTTTTGTTGTTGTTCCAAGGGCACAATGATGTAGGAGCTCTGAATCTCATTCCATGATAGTTATGGTCAGTACTAAGCATGTATTTGAATCCCTTTTACTTCTTAAGCACAGATCCTATTTGAGCATTTGAAAAATAGTATTGCGTTTCACAACTTTGGCTGAGCTTAGAGATGTTTAATGCAAAGTACATAAATTATCTAACTAAATGGGGGCACAACCATCCAGATAAATTTATTTGGTACACTATGTTTACTGTGTTGTGTGAAGTTTTCTCAAATGCATGCAATATAATACATAAGATTTAGATTTAAGGCTGGAAAAAAAAAATAGTTCTGGAAAAATATAACTCAACAATCTAGCAGTATATCTTTTATACTGTATAGATAACTAGCCATACCACAAAAGCTCACAAAAGTGGCATTTTTTACACATGCTTTTCACAGTCTCTGAAGAGAAGACTGCCTAGTCTCTTCCTTGGTTCTGGAATTATAGACATATGATTTACGAAGGTTTTGCTTGCCTTACCTAATGTCTCTAGAGGCCAGAGGAAAATACTGACATTTTTACACTGTACTTTTAGACCAGAAATATTGATGAAAACTCCTATGCAGATTCTTCCTTGCCATTTTTCAGCTACATTTTTTTTTCTACTTGAGGGCTAAGAGACACTCAGTAAGTATCACAAGATTCATTGAAATATAGCCCACAACATTTTATCGCTTTCTGTCACTTGCTGAAACACCACAGAAATGACTGAAAAAAACCACAGCGCACCCATAACTCAAAGTCTATGGAAACAGATTTACTTTCTGCTTTTTCATTTAAATAAGGGATGCAAGTCTGATATTGGGTTTTCAAGCACAAATTGTTAACCTGTCACCCTTTTGAACAGACTTTTTTAGGTCACTAATGAAAAGTAAGTAAGGTTGCCACAAAATGCATGCAATTCTATTTCATTGCAAATTAATTAAAAAATCACTACTTCTCTTTTGTCCTTTTGCATCAGACATTCTGTCAGCTGGCAGAAGCCCACCCACACATATGCCATAGAAATATAACTCCTTACCATTGTTACAACTGACACACTCCATCTATTAATTTTACTGAGGCTGTAGCATAAGAAATCTTAATACTGAGCAGGAGGTGTTCGGTTTCCATAGCTTGAGAAAAGTCCTGCCGGGTGTAAGTTGTCATATTTCACTGAAAAAATACTGATGGCAGAACATCCCCTTGATTGCAAACTATCTGGTAAAAATATGAAAAATTGCTAGAAGAGTTGGGATTGCTCAGGATAGAGAAAAGAAGGCTCCAGGGAGACCTTCCAGTGGTCTTTCAATAACTAAAGGAGCCTAAAGAAAAATGGGGAGAGATTTCTTACAAGAACCTGTAGTAACAGAATAAGAGGCAGCAGCTTTGCTGCTGTAGCATGTAGATTTAGATTGGAAACGAGGAAGAAATTCTTCATGATGAGGGAACAAATTGTCCAGCGAAGCTAACAATCCCCTACGCCTGGAGGTATTCAAAGCCAGTTTGTATGGGACTTTGGGCAAGAAGGTTAATTTTGGAAAAGTCTCTAGTAAGTAGCATCTGACTAGATAATCTTTAAGGTCCCTTCCAACACAAACCATTCCATGATTCAGTGATTCTGTCCTCTTTCATACCTATACAACAGGGAGTCAGGGAATTTGAAGTTCTAGAATGATAAAATCATAAAATGGTATGGATTGGAACAAACCTCAAAGATCATAAAGTTCCAACTCCCCTCCACAGGCAGGGTTGCCAGCTACTAGATCAAGTACTAGATCAGATTGCCCAGGGCCCCATCTACTTAGAATGTATATATAGTAAATAACGGAAATCATCTCTTCCTAAGTGGTGAGTCTCTTTGATAGTGTTTCACTACCTACCCAGCATTTTTCATTGCAGTATGTCTAGCATGTCTATGGCCCAATATTTCTAGCATAGGTGACAAAATGAAATATTCATTCTTACTACAAAAACGACATTCAGAAATTGCTCCTCCTGTAATTTAAATCTGTTGCACACTCTGTAGCTAACTCAAAGCAAATATCTGAGAATTCATCTCATGTAAAAGGAATGTCCACAGGATACCAGCAACTCTACTTCTTCCTTCACTGGCATTGTGTAAAGCACACGTTCTCAAGGGAAAAGGAGAGGGAGGGCAGCAGTTCCTCCAAACTGTGGTGATTGCTGAGTAACAGAATAGATTATAGACTAACCTGGACATCAGTTTGTAAACTGATGTTAAATATCAATAAATCATCCTGAAGGCTCACATCTGCCCCCTTTTAGAGTTAAGTCATGAAATGTGTGGCTTAATAGCTTTAACGTTTACCACTATTTTTCAATTCTGTTGTTCACTGTGGAAGATAGAATCACATTTTTTATTAACAGAAGTAAAAAGACAACTATTTAAAGACTGCAACTGTCTTTTCATTTTTATATTGGCCCTAATTATCCTCTCATCTACATCACTTTTCCTCAGTGTCATTGATTTAACTGGGCTTATTTCTGATCCACATCAGCATAGCTAAACAGAAAATCAGACAACTAATTCACATGAATAACTGCCTCTCATTCATGACCATCTATGTAAGAGATTAACACACTATCTGTGTTGTATAAATGAACATTGAATGCCATCTGCTGGGGCATACAACACTCTGCAATAACAGGCTCATTCATTATTTAAACCTTAAAAATAATACCTTCAATAATTTTAAAGAGGCTGTGTATGTAGACTGGCTTCTCTGAGAACACTGTTGGAAGACAGGTTACTAGGGCAGCACAAGATAATCTGACAACCTACTTTCAGCACTGAAACTAGAAAAGGAGTATGTTGTAAGTTACTCTTGACAGAAGAACTTTAATGCTCAGCTTTTGAAAGCAGACCATTATGCAGCCACAGACGCAAGATCTGAGGCTAAAGACAGGCTGTGCAAGGGTTTGTGCCCCCGGACAAGGGCACTTGCTGGGTACGTACATACTGTGACTGTTTTGCATTCACCAGTCCCCAGATTAAAAGTGTAAATCAAGATATGGGCTAAACTAAGGACTCTTAAATGAATGCATTTGCTTGTTCATCGTCCCTTTGGATCTGCAGTGTGCTTTCTTGATGATATCATGAGATAACATCCATTAGCAAACAGCTACCAGTTGCAACAGTTTGCGGCCTGATAGCTGTTGCTCTTGATTTTGGGAATTGTGGATTTGGAGCTTCTCAAGCTGAAACCAGGACTCTCACCTCCTGGGCAAGAGCTGCAGATGCTGTGCTATTACACCAAAGACATCAGCACAATTCTTTTTCTAGTTCCATCTTGAAAGCAGGAGGTCAAATTTTCTTAAACCACTAAAGGGACAAGACATATTTTTATGCAGAAGAGGGATTTCCAGACCATGATCCCCAAGCTCAACAGCAGTAAACCTTGCAGTTCTGCACCAGGCAGCAAAACTTGGAAAACAAGTAGGAGCTCAAGCACGTGTTTTCTGTGAGCAGTCATGGGTGGATTTGCATCAGCTCCACTATTTAAACAACTTATCTAAAATACTGTACTGATGACATACTTTTAGTCCTTTATGTAAGCTACTAGTTATTGTATCCTTTTCAACAGAATGATATCTGCTGACATTTTTTCTCCATTTCATATAGAAAACAAAAGGAGGAATGTTCCAGCTAATACATATTGTACTGTAAGTATCTGTACCTCCTAAATTTTTCCTCTTTCTTTCACTTCTAGATGTGAGTTCTGGCTACAACACTGGTAGCACAAAATGTAGTCCTCAATGTTAATACAGTAAGGGAATTTTTTTTTATTTTATTTTTTTTAAGTACATAGAACAACTGTTACTTTGCATTAGTGGGAGATAGATCAAAGAACTGACCTAATTTTCTGCTTACAGTATGTATCTGAACTACTTTTATTGTAAGATCATGCAAAATTAGCAGAAGTCAAGCTGAACAAGCACAAAAATTGTAAACCTCAAGGTTTAATAACTAACTAATGCAAATAAAACCTGAAAAGATAACAGTACATATTTTAAATGTCCTTCCACTTCTACATGAAAGCTGATCTCAAGTTTCAGATGTCAGATGTATAAGAAAAGACTGCAAATACCTTACAAGTTAGAGAAAGAGGAAAAGAGAGCACAGATCTGTTGCTTCAAGAGCAAGCTGAACAAATAAAGGATGACTGAAGAAAGCTGATATAATCAATATTTTGGCTGCTTCAGAAAGGTTAATTAATTACAGTCAGATACTACATGGAATTAATACCAACTAGAAGGCAGTAATGGGACAGAACAGTACAGGGAAAGAACTGCTAGGACAGCCGGCATTTACTAAGTCATCTAAAGAAGAATTTGAAGTAATTTCTGAGACACTAATTGATTATCATTCTAAAATGTTCCTAAAGCAACAGGGAGAAACGGGCAACTTCAATTTTTTTTTATTATTATTATTTTTTATATTTTATATTTTAAAAGAAAGCAGATCCTGAGGGTCTACTGGATACCTGGAGAGGCTATCGGAGTTTGGAAGCATTTTTTGGAAAAAAAAAGTCTGATTATTTAAAAAATACTGCTAATGTGAACAGGGAGAATGATTCATCAAGCAAAAATAATTTTCTTTTTAGAAGAAATACAACCATTCTGGAAAAAAAGAAAACAGTAGATGTGATGTATCTTAAATTTTGTTAGGTCTTTGGCACTTCCCAGAAGAAAATTTCACAAACTGTAAAAATCTGTAAATATTTGTAAAATTTTCAATTGTTTGAAATAAAATATCCACCCTCACTGCACTTCCCAGAGGTCTGCTTCTGAAATTGAAATGGTTACCCAGCAAACCCATGTATCCTGCAGTGGTGTGTACGGGGCAGAGCGGTACTTTTTTTTTATTAACATTTGCAGTTATAGAAAGACAAACATTACCCTGATATGTATCATCAAAAACAGTATATTCTTGGACACCTCCCTGATGTTTTCATAAAGCTGTGCATAGCCTTGAAGAGTTGACAAAAAAAGTAATACTGGGAATATAAGGATCAAAATCCTTTGAGTTGGCTGAGCGCTCAGAAAAGACTTTAAGGAACTGTTCTTGTTTAGACTAGGAGTGAGACTAAAAGAAAATATAATTATAAACATTGAGTATAATAAAAGTTGAAATAAAGTGGTTAATAGTCAATTATTTGTGTGTGCCCTTGGAGGGTGAAACAAATTGGTATAATTTGTAGCACTTGAGAAGAAGCATTAACAGAAAGGACAGGTAGCTAGTGGAAGACAACACCTCGGGAAGATATTGATTCCACATTAGCAGGAAATTTAAGAACAGATTAAAACAAACATCAGGGAAGCCGCAAGTACACAGTGGGTGGATACACCTATACTGTCTCTGGTAGTAAAACATTATTTGCTGAACTTTGGGTACCTTCAATTGAGATGATGCAACAGTAATCTCAACTCTGCGCTGTCTGTGCATTTCCCCTTAAAGAAACCAACAGCACTGTCCCAGCATGTAAATGGTGAGCACAAAGGGCAGAGCAGAACACCAGGAAGAATTTTTTAGCCAATCTGGAACAAGAGGATAGGCACGTCTAGAGACATCTTGAGTCTCTTGGATTGCTAATTTTCTAGTATGAACTCTCAGAAGCAATTCACGTTTTTATTTTAGACCATGAAATGTGCAATGAACTACTAGTTGATATATTCTTGTACATAACGAAATGGCTATTTCATTAATCAAATTCAAAGTTTAGATCCTCAAAACACTTCCTCAATTATTTTCCAACCTATCAATTTCCACCAGAAAATGTACTGTGTACCAAGATACCTGGTTCCAGATCTCAAGTATTTCTAAATATTAATTTAATCTTGAACTTAAACTTGTTTGTATTATCTGTATATATCCTGCCCTTCTATGTAGGACAGACATTTCACAAAGAGGGAACAGGATGACTTAAAATCATCCTCCAAACTATCTGATGCGGATGAAGATGTTTATGAGACAGTAAGTTCTTCCACTCTGGAGGCTGCCCAAGATTTGAGAATCCTTCCTCCCAAACCTCAACAGGATTCCGTATATGCAGGTAACTTTTTTTTGTCTGCAGGAAGTGAGCCAAATATAGACAAATAGGAACAGTACACATTTTTTGTGTTTTCACTCAGGTTTTGTATTGTTTTTTCTATTTTTTTTTTAATAGAATTTAATTTAATTGAAAAATAAAAGACTAAGGGAAGGGACAAGAGAAGAGCTTTATCTTCAATTTCATATTCAAAGCTTACTCTTCTTTTCCATTATATTATATTAAATTAATAATTGCTGATTTTTTTTCATTACAGCATTGAATGAGATCATAGAACGAAATCATGAAGGCAATCTTCAAAATCTGACTAGTCAAACCCACAACAATTACAAGAAAGCATACTTATTTAAGCCTAGTAAACTTTGAGATGGAAAACACACTAAAAACATTAAAAAGTTTCCTCCAGATTATAATTTGCAGATGAACAAATGTAGCAGGCTTGTCGAAGGCATTTTCTGACACTCGCAACATCAGTAATAAAAAAGTACTTAGAATGTATTTCTCAGGCATTCCGAACCTTACAAGATAGTTGCATTAGTCACAGTTCGGGTTACTAAAGCAATCCGAAGTCAAATTTAATGCCCAAACATACATAACTAAGTAATATCAGCCTACAGAAACAAAATATTATTCCAGATACCTTTCTCTAGAAAGAAGATATTACAAAGATCTCAAATTACTCTAAAATTGAGAAAAATTTTAGATGAGGAAGAATGGAAAGCAGAAGCCAAAAATATCTTGAACATACAGGATCAATACATATATATGAAAGCTCTCTCCAGTTCACATCAAATACCATTAAGATTTTCCTTTTTTTTTTTTTGTAGGAGTGTATTTGATCATAAAACCACAGAAACATTAAGGTTGAAAGACATCTAAGATCATCTAGTCCAACAACAAACCCATCTCCACTATGTACTACTAATCTTGCCCCTCAGTGCCATATCTCCACATTTCTTGAACACCTCCAGGGACAGTGACCCCAACACCTTCCTGGGCAGCCCATTCCAGTGCCTCACCACCTTTTCTGAAGGGAAAAGGTGCAACTTGAGGCCATTACCTCTCATCGAGTTGCTGAGAGAAGAGGCTATCTCCCACGTCACTACAACCTCCTTTCAGGGAGCTGTAAGGTCTCCCTGGTAAAATTAAAAAACAAATAAAACCCCCAAAAAACAAAAGTTCCCCAGTACCACAAATTATGCAGTCAAATCTCCTGCATTTACTCACAGGAGTAAATACACCTAGAGTTCAGGGGATGAGCCTCACATCACAGTGGCTCCCCTGCCAAGCAAGTACGATGTCTGACTTGATCACTATCTGAAGAACGACAGTCTATAACGTACAAAGACTCTTTTAGGTATTTTACTTAGAAATCTAAAGTAACTTACATTCTTTTTATCTTGGTTAGTAGAAAACACTTTCAGTCCACAAACAGCACCTTCTATTGTTTTTGCGAGACTGTCCTGAAAAAAGAAAGAAACCAAATTTAAAAAATGCTGCTTTTTACCTGTGTGCTATGCCCAGTAAACATGATGTGATACAGATGTGAAGAAAGGTTTTGAAATGTACTTCAAAAAGGCAAAAATTCATATACCATCCCATTTTGCCATCTTCCCTAGAAAAATAAAAATGCCCTTGAGATACAAAGTTAATGACTTGAGAACACATGCCAGTTCACACTTCATATATTTCTTCCAGCGGGCCACGAGTGCAGTATTTATTAGAAGCTAAAGTAAAATTAAAAGTTCTCTGAAGAGCAAACCCCTTCACCTCTCACTAAGCCCCAGCAACTCATTCAAGATAATGGGCAAATTCACAGATCTGCTCACAGCTTAATCGTACCTTAACTGCGTACCAGCTAACAAAGGTTTTTGTTTGTTTTTTAACCACTGTGAGGTAGGTGATCAATACCACTACTAAAGTAATATGGAAGATCAGGAAAGGCAAAATGAAAGCGCTATAAAAATGGCAATGCCTGACAGCAAAACCATGTTCTAAACATTAAAATTTCTTCATCTTGAAAGACAGCATCTTTCAAAAGACTGCATTACTCAAGATTGCTTTTTCTTCCTCTTTTACAGATAAACACTGTCTGAAGACATCAGGTACTACCCACACAAGCAGTAACCCACCTCAGCCCCCTCAGTACTTGCCTGTAAGTAAAGACCTCAAGCACTGTTTGCAAATGCATTTCCTCTATTCTATAATATCACATAAAGCTACATGCACTCCACTTGAAGTCTTAACCATGAAGAATTTGATTTTTGCAAGGTCACGTAGGATCCTGTTTTGCTATGCAATAACGTCCTCTCAGCTCACCTTCTTTTGTTGATGCCTGAGGTCAAGAATGGATCTACAAACTATTTGCAGCATCTCAATCAAGAATAGCACTGTTTTTACTAGCTACAGTTTCAAGTATGATGCCTAATATCACACCTTTATTTGATTTTATTTACAGAAACATAAGTCTGCTCTAGAGGCGAGGAACGCACCAAATGTTGAAGGTATAATTAAGAAAATCTATTTGGTTCTGCAGTCAGAAAACAGTGCTTCCATATTTAGCTTTGAAACACAAGCAGACATAGCAGATGATAGAAAAGACTGTTTTCAGAACAGCAGCCCAAATAATCCTGCTGCACTAAATTTCGAGCACTATTTCAACAACCCAATACTAAGGTAATTGTTTAAAAAAAGTAGATATGCTTTAATCCAGAACCTCAATTTCTCAATAGAAATGTATGAGGGCTGCTCCAAAAATAATGCCTCCCATTTTATTATAATAGCCCACAGCATCAGAGGCAAAAATTCATAGCTAATGACAGCGTGTTGCAAAATAGTATTTTGAAGAGAATTTGAGCTCATTGTATCTGATGTCGTTTCCATGGAAATAAATAGAAGGCATTACTTTCAGAGTAACCAACATATTTACAAAAGCTACCTGACAATATTCTTCTATTCAGAATACATTAAATCTATAGAATTACCTGGTGTAAATTTGCTTCTCAACTCCTTTGCCATTAACTTTAAATTAGTTTCAAAGGTCTATATTTTTGAATTGTAAATATGCCTTTCATTTTCATTTGTTTTGTTTCTTGTGGTTGAATTGCATACAGGCTGCTGTCTGAGTCTTAGGAATTCAATGAGGTCTGCAACTATTAAATTCTTTACAATTTTAACCAAGAATAAGTTCCTATTAAAAGTATATTTCTAAACACTTTATTTCTATACATTTCTCTACATTTTTGGTATACTTAACATATAGCAACATATCACACTGTCAACAACTGAAGAATTAGATATTCAATTCACCTTGAAAGATAATTAGGATTTTTCACTTATCATTTCAAATCTTTGAACCATGTCCAAACTATGGTCAGAAAGAATGCAATTACCAACCCAGGAAAATATGATCACCATGTTAGTTGTAAATTTTCAGACATTTGACAAGCCCAGAAAAGTAATGCAAAGAATCCCATGCAATCAAGGTTGTGAGGTTTTTTTTGTTTGTTTTTTCCTTTATTCCATACTCAAAGGATTGAACCAAATAATTCCCACAGATTATAAGAAATTAAGCAGTATAAAGTTCACAGAATGAAAAACTGAATCTTGTGAGCAAATACTAATATAGTTTGTACAAAAGCTGAAATAAGAGAAATATCAAGCAGGCCACCTTCAAAATCTGCAGAAATTAATGATATAGATACATCTGACAGCTGGCCAGCTTTGATAAAGCCTCAAATTCCACGATGAATTGAAGTTGGCTTCATGTGTTTGTCTGCCTGCACAAGGTATGTGCTGAAGAGAGATGAAGTAAGGACTGTGCAGGCAGCTAACTTGAATTTTGCAATCTGAGGATGGAACCTACATATATTTGAGTACCTCCTCAGCCAATAATGCCTGTGGGTAAATTATTATTTTTAAATAGCTACCCTGTTATTAAATAGCCTAACATTTATTCTCATACAAAGTGCTATTAAGTGGCTTTGCCACCAGATGGCATAAATATCACAAAAACTTTTTTTTCAACAACTATTTTAACAAACCAAACTCTACTAAGTAAAAATCTTATCTGTGTATTTTATTTTAACTAGTAGCATGTCTCGTATGCATTTAAAATCAGTCAAATTATGGTAAAGTTGGAAAGAGCAACAACAGAAAACATTTATTTTTTATTAAAACGAGCAAAAAAACCCACAAATAAATCAACACACACAGTCTCAGAACAGAACTTTACAAAATACCTGAACAAATATCAGCTTCAAATATGTCACATTGAAAGCTAGGGACAAAACCAAACTTCATGCAGTTTTATCAAGTAGCATGAAGATTATTTTAACTGCTCTATTTTATATTTTAAGTCGGGGTAATAAAACATACTTTTTTCCTGCTTTAACTTCAGGTAATTTCTAGTTATGTCCCTTATGAAATGAATGCTTGTTATTTAGAAAGATTCACCTGGCTGCAGTACAAAAAGATTTGCAGTATTTCTGGGACTGACACAATTATCTAAGTATACATAGTCTAGTATTTAATTGGAGAGAGGTACAAACTGTTAGAAGGAATTTTAAATTGCATTTCAATCTGTGAATCCACCCTTAGAGAAGGCAAAATAAAATACAGAATAAAACTCACTGCACTTAGATTAAAATTCAGAGCCCAGTCTGGCCAACACAAAACGCGCTCATCCCCATTTCCAGCAGCCTCAGCCTTCACTCCCACAGACAACAATCTCTCGCTGAACCACTGAAGCTTCCAGCCCCTGCAAATAGGTTGACATTAATTAATGCCAACCATTAGGAAGCAGGAAAAATGGTGGAGATGTGGATGTGTTAGCAGGATGAATGTGGTGCCAATGAGCTGGTGGGTGGGGTGCCAATAATAACAATTCTGGGATAAAGCTGTACCTTTACTTGTAGATTATGTGGACAATACTCAATTAACAATTATTAATAATTATCTTAGGAGAAAGAGTGAAAGTATACGGACTCCAGGTAAGCAGTCTCTCAAATTACATTTGCACAGGCTATTATGCTGTTGAATATATTTGTAAAAAGCACACTCCAGTTTTGCTAGCACTAACCAAAGGATGAGAAGTCTGCAGGCCTATGTTACCTCACTGATTTGTATTCATGCTTTACAATAGCATCTTTTACTCTTCAATGATTTTAAAGAAGCATATTTAAACCTATGTGTTATGTGTTGTGGAATACGTAAAACTTTGCCTGTTGACACAGATATGCCTGCTTTATCTGAACTACTTATATTTCTGCTGGTAAAACAAGGGAGAAAAGCTCAAACATTTTTGCTTTCTTTCTTTTCTAGCAACCCTTGCCTCCCCCACGGTAAGATCAGTTCAGAAATAGCTTTCACGCTTTTCCAAACATAGGAAGTCCAGAAATCTGGAATCAGGTTCAATCCAGCCACAAATTGTTGGGGGGGGGGGGGGGGGGGGGAGGAGGAGGGAGCGAGGATAGGGGAAGTCTTCCTTTATCTAATTTCCTTAGATTCTATTCACAATACAATATAATCTCCACTGTCTTTTAAATCTTTTTCTTTTTTTAAATAAGTTCAAATCATGTTAATAGAAATTAACTGCAGTCATTTACTCCCCACAGTCGATGGACCAAGTTCTATTCCATGAACATGTACGAATAAATTTTTCTATCATATGCCAACAAAAAAAAAGCAAACTTTGATTTTTTTTCCACTCTCAAACAATTGTAGGTGCTACAAAAAAACAATTTTGAAAGGTAATCCCAAACTGCTAAGCAGCTAAATTTATTTCT